TAAGGCGATGGCCTCGATAGCATCAACTATTTTTCCTATGTATATATCCTCGGCGAATACATATGAGAAATATGAAAACGCAGAAGAACAGGCCGCGCTTGAGTTATGTGGAATAAATACATGAGCGAGGATCCCGTTGACTTGATTTTGTTTATATTAAAGGCACTCGAGTATGATAGGAAAATATTTACCGAGTACGAAATTACTATAGGCGGCAGCGAGCTTAACAAGGCATTTCACTATAGATTGACAAAACAATCGTGTCATTCGCTGACGAGGTGAATTACTCTCACCGCAAAGAATTGCTGATATATATATAGTCGCTCTGTCGCTTTTAAATGTACTCGTACAGATATACGTGGCAGTGCTACATAGAGACACGTTCGGAGCTGTATAGAAAGGTCGGGGCCTGCAGGCGCGAGCGAGAAAACGATGGAAACTTGTGCTTCGCGCTGCAATTGGGGTTTTGAAAATCCGAACAAAACGATTAACGAGTAAAAGCTTGCAGTCGCTATGTAGCACGTATAGTCCTGGCAATGAACACAATTCTGCAGCGAGCGCAGTGGCAACTAGCGGAGAAATTTTCTCTTTTGCGATAGACGGCCATTGAAAGGCTATTGGGATAAAGAGAAAAAGAGTGAGAGAGAGAGAGTGAGAAATAACAAAACAGTAAATGGATACAGGAAACAAAAAAGCACCGATAGAGATTATTTAAGGAAGCGGAGGGCGATTGTATCGCCTGTACGTAGACCTGCCTATATACGCGAGCGGACGAAACGTGTACAAAAGATGGTTGAGTGGTCGCGCGAGTTAAAGTATACTTACACGCGGCAAGACGAACTCGATTAAGCGCGTCGCGAGGAAATTCGCGCTCTCGTCTTTTCAACCTAGGTTCGCGCGCCAATGTATCCATTTTGGCACTGTGTGTATACGAGCATTATTACAAGCACTCGACTTTGTACACAGAGCCACACGCGCTTTCATCGTAGCCGAGGCGCTGCAGCGAGCGCGAAGATTGAATGGAAAGCGAATCGTGTGATGATTTCGCCCGGCTGATGTTTGCGCATATATTTGTGAAGCAATTTTAATGAGCACACTACGGGCGCGCACGACTATGTAAAGAGAGCTGCAGAGGCTCTTGCGCGACTGGAGTACAGAGTACAGAGAGCAGCCCACGTATAAATGCACATAGCCACTTTTTTGTCTATCTACCGACATATATGATAATAATAATAATAATAATTCATTGAAAATTCGTTTCGTATTTCATGACGGTTATGCGCGCTTATGTGAGCGCGCATAAAAAGCTCGAGTACATACAGGTACGTATGTGGAAAGTGTTATGAAAAGCAGGGGCTGTTGCGCGCCGAGCAGCCGTTAGCCGTAGGGTTTCGGTTTAACATTTTTAACAGCTATTGGCAGCCGAGCTTTTGTCACGTTCTCTCTTCTGGTATAAATTCAATGCGGAGGAAAACGCGAGGCTCGTTTTGCTCGTAAATTCGATTCGTACACGGCTCGGCGAGCCTGCTGCAAGCTCAAGGGCTACATAGCCACACTCGTCGTCGCGTTACGCGTTCGCGAGAAGAGTCCGAAAATTCTTGAATAGTTTCAGCTCAACTTTGCCTATTTTGTCTCTCTCTCAGCCAAGATAAGCTCTTACTCACGGGCAAAGTCACGCTCGAGCCTCTCTCCCTCGTCGGTGGCAGTACTTACCCAAAGAGTTAATAACTCAGCGCTCGCTCAGTTACAAGATTCTCTCTCTTTCGTATAAGCTAGGATATGAGATTATAACAAAGAGGAATTCACGCAAGGTAAGAGCGTGGCCATTCAGCGGCCTTTTCAACCCGACGCGCCGACAACGGGATCTTTCCCTCCCCATGCTAATGAGGAACACGTGTCTCTCGCTCATTCACTTTTAAACTTCGGGGTACGCACGAGCTGCAGCTAGTATTTACTCTACCAGCTAGTTTGTCGTACATATATATTCGTAGATAGTTTGTTCTTTAGTTTCAGCCAGTTACGGAATTCAAGTACACATGCGCGCTTATAGAGGAAAATTTAACGAGCCGTGTTGGTGTATATATGCGCAGGTGCGCCAGCTGTGCCACTAAGTAGTGTACTGACGATAAAAATGCCGGCGCCTGAACATTACCCGCTACGCGATTGGAATTTCCTCCTCCCCGGTGCACAGCAGCGGCGCCTCGAGAAAATTGTCAATACGGAGCACATTTTTCCGCTAATTTTCTTGTTCGCGCGCGTCGGCTTTTTCTTTTCATTTTTACGCCTCGCGCGTCTCGGAGAAAATTCCAATCGCTGACATACGCGTCTGCAGAGGCAAGATTTACACTAGGCCGGCTGCGAAGAAAAATAGAAGGCAATATTATGCCTTCGTTATGTCGTTGGCATAAATACCTGAGCTCGAAAGAAATATACGTTTGATACATGAAATATTCATTAATTCAAAATGTCAGTATTTCCTTGGCTGTATAGCAGCGGTGTTGGAGTCATAAAATATACGTTTTCACGACGTATCACGAGTGGAATTTCTCGACTCTGCGAGTACCTATATATTTTTTGAAATAGATGATGAGAAAAATTCTTTTTCTCTCACTCTCTTTTTCACCCTGCTTCCGTCTTATGCAATAAAAAAGAAGAAGCTACAAGAAGGAACGAAAAAATGTCTTTCTTTTCTCTCTGTCTCTCTCTCGAAGGCACAAAAAATGAATAGGAGCTCGGGACTACGTAATGGCAAATGTATCGGTTAAGCTTCCACTCGACTTCCATTATTTTCCATTTGGCTCGTTGAAATAAAAAATCTCGCATCGATGCGCCCAAAAGATCGATACACGCGATGCATTATTCATGCTGAGCGAAGCCTTGGCATCAGCAATTTAACAACTAACATAATTTTTATCAACTGCCTCTCGACTGTTGCTGAAAAATGCACTCGTTGACATGTAGATACGGCCGGAGATTTCAGTCGCGCACGTATATAGGACATATTGTTTCATGTACAGCCTTTTTTATCCTCGACATCGATCTTCCGAAGTTACCGCTCGTGAATGTAACCATTCTATCTTTCTTGCGCAGACTTTTTTTATATTCTCGAGCTGCTTCCATGCCCTTTTCTTTTTTTTTGTCAGCATAGAAAGTCAGATCGAAAATTTAACTCGCACTGCAGCTTGAAATTGTTCTGCAATATATACTACTCTGGGTATAATAATTTTTCCTTTCTTTAAATTTGCAAGACTGCGGAAAAAAGTAATGACTCTTATAATGCAATGTAATTTTACATTATCCTAGACGATGAATTGAATTTTTAAGAGACCATTATTAAATAAAGTTAACCTTTTTTATCAGTTTTACCGTATTTTTCGATAATAAGGTTAAAATTGCTCCATTAGATAGTCGAGCTACTTCAACGTCTGCATAATAAAATCGCTATATCCTACTCTCGCACACAAGCTCAAGTTCCTGCAGAAAACTTTCAAGTGCACTGTTCAAGCTTTTTATTCGTTCCTTTTTTGAATATTTTTATTTTTTTATTATCATTATTTTTATGCTTTATTTTTCAAGGAATGGTGAACGAAAAATATTTTTTGGATTTAAAATAATCATCGTCAAGTTGTGCATTTGAACGAGAATAAAATGAAAAATGGCGTCGAGAGCACAGTTGAAACAACTTTTCAAACGTATACGCGAACACGGTTTGCGCTTGCATTATGCTCGTAAGTCAACAAATAGCGACGAGTAAACGTCAAAAACTTGGAGCAACACCCCCCTGGAAAAGCGTGGCAAGGCCACTGCGCGTGTTTGCTGCACATATCTGGAGCAGCAACCAGTTTCAGCTGTACTCGGTGTATATATACCTACATAAGCGGGAGAAAAGCTCCGGATACGGCACTTTGATGTCGTTTGCCGTCCTCCATACGCCCGCGTCTAACTCTTCAAGTTTTTCACCCCTTCCCCTCTCCCTCTCCCTTTCCCTTTCCCTTGTGGAAACAAGCTCTCTCTTAACATTTTTTCCCGTTATGAAACAGCCGAATGCTTAGGTACACTCGAGCGAGGACTTAAATTTATGCATGTGCTAACCGCCAAGTCGTTGAATTTTTATAACCACACGTGAGTGAGATGGAAGGAGAGAAAGAGAAAAATAAAGCATGTTTTTCCTGTGGCTGTTTTCTTCTTTCGTGCTAATTCGTTCTGAATAAGAGGCTGAAGAGAGAAAACGTGTATATTCGTTTGAGTGTTTTTTTTTTCAACTCTACGAGAAAAAAGGGACGAGAGAAGTGCCGTATGCAGACTTGATTTTAATAGCTGTTCTTCAAAAGCCTGCCACTAGTGTTTTTGAACGAATTATCTCGTAGATGAAGAAAATGAAGATGTTCTAGTGGGAAAATTCAAATTCTTTTGATGTATTTTTCGAGTACCAATAGATCTTGTTGCATTATTTAATGGCAAAAAAATCTAATTAAAGCTCAACGCTAGCCGTGATTTATGCTGTTCGCGCATATGGCATGGAAAGTTTTTCATTCATAAATCAATGACGAGTAAATTATAGCCAGGCTGCACGAAAAATAATTCTGCTCTCGAGCACGTCAATTCGATGTTTCTTTTTTAAAATTGCATATTACGGCAAAATCGCTGAATATTTGTATTTTCCTCAAAGCAAATGCAAACATCTCATGATTCTTGAACTCATTTAGGAGTGCACTTTGCCACGGTCAAAGTTATCGCATCAATTTTTCAGCGAAAACTCGCCAACTTATCGACAATGAGCTTCCTTGGCTTAAAAGTCTGCGTTACCTCCGCTTGCTCGACATTAATTATGCCACTTTCAACGGGGAAGGCTCTCTTTCGAGACGGCAATTTTTTCTCGTCCCGACTTTATCTGCTGCATGTTTATATTCATAGTATATAGGAGAAAAAGTTGACCATGCTCGGCAGCCGCTGCCGCGCAGTCAGGAATTTTCAATGAGTTAGGTATTAAAGAGCCGTACCTCGGCAACGTAAGATCGATGTAACTACTGAAGACGTTCCATGCTTCTCGAGTCCAGCCGTATCTTCTTCCTGGAATAAATATTTTTAATATAAAGTCGCAATTTAATTTCGTACATTTAAAAAAGTTCAATTAAAAAACTAGCGAGAGAGCTCGAGATATTGTGCTCTAATCTATTTCCATTGTATACACGCCTCTTCAGCGAGTACAATTTTGTCTCTCACTCCTTTTTTTTTTACAGTGACACCGCGAAAATGAGCTTTCCTCGCCTTGCTGCGTGTATGTATACATGTATATAGAATTCATGTGTATTATGAGGTCTATTGTGATATTTTCAAGAAGGTATTATTAGGTAGGAGCGAGAAAAAACGCGAGAGAGTCCTCATAAAATATCAACCGAAAAAACGAGCTTGGCACTGGATGATAATACTCGAGCGTGGTATATACGCGAGGCCGTATAACGCCTCTCTTTCTCATATTATACACAAAAACGATGGTGGGAGACATTGCTTTTATATCTATATACGCACATTTTTAAAAAAGGGAGCAGAAAAACGCCGTCAAGAGACGTTTATCGCTCAACTGCTGTTAGCACGCCGTTTAAATGGCCATTTCTCTTGGCCTGGGCCTTTATGACTTTTTTGTCTCGTTAGGTATACTTTTTCTACACAAGTACGCCCCTCGTCTTACGTCTTGAAAAAAGTGTGGATTTGCCGCGTTTCTCTTTTGCGCGAGGCCGACGAGGTCGAAAAAGAAGTTGTCCTCGAAAACTCGATAAAAGCTCGCGAGGTGATAAATAATGCATCAGACACTCGGCTCGTTAAAACGGATTGACTCATTGCTAAGCATTTCAGCGAGCTCATTCTCATATCGATTAGCAGGGCCAAGCTCCAAAGCCTCCTCACTCGATAACTCATTAAATCACTATACTACAAACCGGCCGAGTGCCGCACACTCAGGCGCACATGCATTTATATAGATATACATAGATTCGCCAGAAGCGTCAGGTCATATCCCGACTTCAACTACTTTAAACTCGCTCACGTGCTTCCTTTAGAAATACTCTCTCGAAGTGTTTTTATTTTTTTTTCTCTTGCCCCGGCTCCCCATCCGTTGTCTCTCTCTATCTTTCTCTCTTCTCTCGTCCCAAACAGCAACATAATAGCAACAGCAGCCGCAGCTCGTAACGATTTTTAGCCCGTGCAGCATAGAGCCGGGGCTGAAGCGTAGGAGCGTGTAATTCGTTTCTGTATTCTTCATGCAAATTAGCGTAATTCGCTTTCCCTTGGGTCGGGACGTGCGAGTGTGTGTATATGAAATTCTCATCGCGCGCCCGCTCGTGTTTTCATTTTCCCTTTTCGGTTTATCGCGAGTGACGTGCGCACGTGGCTCTCACTGCCATTTGAGACACTGATTAAAATATTATTTTTCACGCGTACGCTCGTTGCATCGCTTTTCGATTTTTTCCCTCCTTCTCGACATGCCCGGGACGACGGATGCGCCGAGATTTAACACTGACTTTATATCAACTTGCCGAGGCAGATAAAAAGGAAATCATAATGAATTGTATTTGTCTTAAAGCCTGCCTTTATGAATTATACATTTCAAACTACTGAGATCTCAATATTCTACCTAGCAAATATTTAACTATTCAACGTATGTAATATTCCATTTATTAAACTCCAGTTGCAATATATGCTCTGTGAAATCAAAAAATACCAGCTTACACGTGGAAAGCAATTTTGAAATACACGTAGAAAGGAATAATTAATCGGAAATGAAGCTACGACGAGTCACGTCTCGGGTAATTTCCCTGCTATCAGCCCGAGCACAGATACAAGATTGCCGTTCAGCTTTACTTTTTTCGATTAATTAAATTTTACCCCCTGCTAAGCTCAGAGTGAGATAGAGAACATAATTCATGAGGAAAAAAATTTGTAATATATACGCGACCAGGGTGTGAGAGAAAAGGTTCAGCTCGAGAGGGAGAGAGAGAAAAGTTTCGTAAGAAATGTGCGCGAAGAAGAAAAATCAATTCTCTCACTTTACCGCAAACTTTAATAATGAACTTATACTCAGCTGCTACTGCTGTCTATATATATATACGTACGAGATTGATAAAGCTCAGACGAAGATACTTTACGGCCGTACTGGCAGTAAGAGAGCTCCAAACAGTCGGAAAAACTCACCTCGCCTCCAAATGCATTATAATAAACTAAATATTAGCAGCGGCAAAAACTTTATCACTTTTCGTTTATGAAAGAAAAAAATATTCTTTTTTTTGCCTTTGCTGCTCGATGCACTTCAGGGCGACAAAAAGTTTTGCTCACGCGTGCAACTACGAGAAAATTTTTACCAGCTCGAAAACTGACAAAAGAAAATTAACAAAAGCCTCTGAAAAATAGGAAAAAGTAAAAGAAAAAAAAATCAGAGAGAAGAAAAGTACAGAAACAAAGCGGCATCGAGAAATTCTTGATGTACGAGGCGAATAAGCTAAAAACATTTCTAAGTTGTCCGCGTGAAGCCGTACGATGGATATAAGGGCAAAAAAATAAATAAAAATAAATCTCTCGTTCTACGTATCTTCCTCTTTTACTCCCTCTCTCGAGCAATCAATTACCATTTCGCATACTCATATTCCAAGAGTCCGTTTGTTTACTCGTTAAAACTGGCTCGGATTCGCCCTGCACCAACTCCCCCCGCCCCTCTGGTCCTGGTGTGGGTATTAAGCCCTGCTGAAAGTCCGCAAGAGCTTTTCAGGCCTGCATACTAACTAGCTTGATATACATGTATATCAACTCGGGCCCTAGATTCTGAAGTTTCAAGCATCACCGATCCAAATTAGCAAGAGCCGATTTTGCGAGAGGAACAAAAAAAATTCGCCGAACTCTACCCCCGTGTCTCTTTAAGCTCAACCGTTGGCAGTCAGAGCAAGTTAGTACAGTCGAGAGAGTACGTGCGAGTCGTTAAGAACATGACGAAGTAGCCACCACCAATACGGTAGCCATATAGTCGACGGAAATATCCCTCTCAGTTTTTTCTATGCCTGCGCGTAACGACCAAAAAATATTTTCAAAAGCTCACCATTGTACATTTCATTTATATGGACTTTGTCACCTGTTGCATAATAAATATACAGATCCGATTTTCCAGGTTTAAAAATATTCACAATACAAAAGAGAAATAAAAAGTAAATGAGAGCGAGAGATATATATTTCAGGGCGCAGCAGAGGGACGAGGCGCGTACTCGGAGGGTAGTTTCGTATTCCTCGCACGTATCAAAGCGATGATGATACTCGACCAGGGCTGCGACGCTGGGCTGCGCTATCAATTCGATGTTGATTTTGAATTCCCGCGATCTGCAGCTTGCGAACTTTTTATTATCCAACATTTACGTGTATGGGATTTGGTTCGTGAGCGCCCTACACACGTACATACACACATACACACATGCACGCTTCGAGAGGGGCAAATACGAGCTAAAACTTTTCTGGTTTGAAGTTTTGCATTTACGAATCGACAATTATCCATTCATCAAAGCTGCCCCTGCTGTGTAATCACCATCAAAGGTGAAAACGAAGCGGACAATGTGTGATCATCCTGCCGGCGCGCCGTAACGTATATGGGGTGGTAATGCACATTTCACCTCTTAAATCAAACTGAAGCCTTATATTATACCGGCGGCGCATCGAGTCTCTTCATCACGTATATAGTGGACACTCGCGTCTATAAGATCCGCTCCGGAGCCAAACTCGTAAATTTCTCTACTTCTCTCTCTCTCCCCGCCATTACCACGTGCGTGTGTGCACCGGGGAAAATCCATCAAGACGTAGCAGCGAGCTTTTTACGAGTAAAATCGTGTATATATAGTTTTACGAGCAAAGATGACGACGACGCCCAGACGTCTCGCGTTATTTGTCTTACGCACGCATTGCCTTTATTACCCGAGTAGTGACTTTATCGATCAGCAACCTACGCCTTTCCGCTCGCTTATTTCGAAATTCGGGATGTGCGCGAATGAGCGCAGTGGCTTTTATACGGCTTGCACGGTAAGTTGGGGCTGGATTTCCTTCCAACCTCCGTGAAATGTTATGCTACCGGCTTATATATAAATGAAGTGTAACGAAGAAGCCGTCTCGATTTCGTCCTCTTCTTATTTTCCACTCTTTCTTTCTTGCTTCTCCCTTTCCTTACAACCCCCACAAGTGCAGTGAATTTTTGTTTACACTCGCGTTGAATTTTATGTTCAAGTCGTGTCTCAAAAATTACATTTTCACTTCGTAATTCTGCTTTACTCGGTTTAAGCCTAGATACAAACCGGTGTAAAACGATATTTGATTTTTTTCCCTCGTCAAAGCGAATCGCAGCGTTAAAAGCTCACTCGCTGCCGACGACTTATAATTCAATACAAGCTTTATTTGACTTGGCTTTTTTGTGCCACGTCGTGTAACGTCCAATTTCGAATTTTATTCCAAGAGTCGGAGAAAAAGCTTAATTGGCAAACACGAGTGACTTTATACCTATGCGCATGTAATGGAGAAAGGGAAATGCACTTAGCGAGCTGGAGTAGCGTAAAAACAATGGTCTTTGGTAATTACTTGAAACGATCCGCCCGCGCATTTTTCCCCAACTTTTTTCGACTCCAAAGCTACTGCGCTACAAGCTCACTTGAATTTTTTCCCGACTCGCTTCTTATTACGTGCAGATATACGCCAAGATTTACAATGAATTTCAACTAATGCCAGTTAGACATGATCTACCTGATAGTTACATAATGCGTTAGAAAAGAAAATCTGCGGCAAAAAATGATCTGTTAAAACGTCGAGTCGGCCGGCTAACGGTTTCTTGCACGCGCGCGCGCCGGTGGAGAGGTCAAAAAGTATTGCGGTATCCTTTTTTTTGCACAGTTTATACATTCCTCGGAAGGAAAGTCGGAGCTGCGCTCGCAGAAACCAATTTAACGGAGGCTAGTTTTTCTCTCCCTTCCTCCTGCGATTTTTAGCTTAGGCAAAAGTACTCGGACAGAGTAATTTTCATGCTTCTGTTGAAGCTGGGCACATAGCCGTGGGCT